GGGCTCTTGAAGGCCCTGAAGGTGGATACCTAGCCCCTGAAGGTGGATATGGATATTAAGATCCTGAAGGTGGCCTTGAAGGTGGATACCTTTAGGATATCTCGAGGGCTCTTGAAGGTGGATACCTAGGATATCCTAGTGGACTGGCCTGGAAGGTGGTGGATACCTAGCCCCTGAAGGTGGATACCTAGGATATCCTAGTGGATACTTAGCCCCTGAAAGTGGATGTGGATATGGATATTAATATCTTGAAGGTGGATACCTAGCCCCTGAAGGTGGATATGGATATTAAGATCCTGAAAGTGGTTATGGATATTAAGATCCTGAAGGTGGCCCTAAAGGTGGATACCTTTAGGATATCCCACCTAGCCTCTGAAGGTGGTGGATACCTAGTGGCCTTGAAGGTGGATACCTTTAGGATAACCCACCTAGCCTCTGAAGGTGGTATCGATGGTGGATACCTAGGATTTCCTAGGCCGATCGACCTCGAAATACCCCGAAAGTGGATACCTCTCTCAGGCCTCTCGAAGGGCCCCTAAAGGTGGATATGGATATTAAGACTTAGGATACCTTATCTCGAGAGCTCCTGAAGGTTCCTCTGAAGGTGGATATGGATATTACGACTTAAGATACCGTATCTCGAGAACTCCTGAAGGTGGATATGGATATTAAGACTTAGGATACCGTATCTCGAGGGCTCCTGAAAGTAGAGCCCGAAAATGGATACCTCGAGAGGCCCCCAGAAGGTGGATATGGATGGGAGTGGATATGGATATTAAGATCCTGAAGGTGGCCGGATACCTTTAGGATATCTCGAGGGCTCTTGAAGGCCCTAAAGGTTGATACTCTGAAGGTAGGCCCTGAAAGTGGATACCTTTAGAATATCTCGAGGGCTCTTGAAGGCCCTGAAGGTGGATACTCTAGTGGATACCTAACCCCTGAAGGTGGATACTTAAGATACCCTAGTGGGCTGGCCTTGAAGGTATACCTAGCCTCTGAAGGTGGTGGATACTTAGCCCCTGAAGGTGGATACCTAGGATATCCTAGTGGACTAGCCTTGAAGGTGGATACCTAGGATATCCTAGTGGGCTGGCCCTGAAGGTGGTGATACCTAGCCTCTGAAGGTGGTAATACCTAGCCCCTGAAGGTGGGATATCTTAGCCCCTGAAAGTGGATATGGATATTATGATCCTGAAGGTGGATACCTAGCCCCTGACGTTGGATATGGATATTAAGATCCTGAAGGTGGATACCTAGCCCTTGAAGGTGGATATGGATATTAATATCCTGAAGGTGGCCCTGAGGTGGATATGGATATTAAGATCCTGAAGGTGGATACCTAGCCCCTGAAGGTGGATATGGATATTAAGATCCTGAAGGTGGCCCTGAAGGTGGATACCTTTAGGATATCCCACCTAGCCTCTGAAAGTGGTGGATACCTAGATACCCTAGGCCGATCGACCCCGAAAGTGATACCTAGCCTAGGTGGATACCTAGATATCCTAGGCCGATCGACCCCGAAAGTGGATACCTCTCTCAGGCCTCTCCCCTGAGGCCACTGAAGGTGGATATGGATATTAAGACTTAGGATACCGTATCTCGAGAGCTTCTGAAAGCTCCCCTGAAGGTGGATATGGATATTAAGTCGTGGATATGGATAGGGTACCGTATCTCGAAGGCTGCTGGCCCCTGTGGATACTTCTCCTAGGCATCTCGAGGGCCCTAAAGGTATGAAGGTAGATATGGATGGATATCTTAGGATACGTATCTCGAGGGGCCCCTGAAGGTATCCCGAGGGGCCCCTAAAGGTAGATATCGATGGATATCTTAGGATACTGTATCCCGAGGGGCCCCTGAAGATATCCCGAGGGGCCCCTGAAGGTATCTCGAGGGGCCCCTGAAGGTATCCCAAGGGGCCCCTGAAGGTGCTCTGAAGATATGAAGGTAGATATGGATGGATATCTTAGGATACCGTATCCCGAGGAGCCCCTGAAGGTGCATACAAACCGTATCCTCTCCTCAGGCCGACTGGCCACGTAGGTGGATACGTAGGATACCGCGAAAGGCTGACTGGCCACGAAGGTGGATACCTAAGATACCGCGGAAGGTGAATATTATGGCCAGCCGAAAGTGGATACCTAGGATACTGTGGAAAGTGGATATTATGTATACGGTGAATACCTAGGATACCGCGGAAGGTGGATATTACAGGATAATATGGCCAGCCGAAGGTGGATACCTAGGATACCGTGGAAAGTGGATATTATGTATACGGTGAATACCTAGGATACCATGGAAGGTGGATATTATGTAATATGGTGGATACCGGTCTAGGCGGAGGAAGGTGGACAATTAATATCAAGACAACAATACCGCGGAAAGTGGATATTATGTATACGATGAATCCCTAGGATACCGCGGAAGGTGGATATTATGCATACGGTGGATACCAGTCTAAGCGGAGGAAGGTGGACGATTACTATTGAGACAACAAATCTAAGGTAGATATTAGAAACAGACAACTAATATCTAGGAGAAGGAAGGTGGATATTAGAAACATACAACTAATATCTAGGAGGAGGAAAGTGGATATTAGAAATAGACAACTAATATCTAGGTGGAGGAAGGTGGAAGAAAGTGGATATTAGAAACAGACAACTAATATCTAGGCGGAGGAAGATGGATATTAGAAACAAACAACTAATAAAAATGTGTAACAAAAGGTGGATATTAGATACATACAACTAATATCTAGGCGGAGGAAGGTGGATATTAGAAACAGACAACTAATAAAAATGTGTTACGAAAGGTGGATATTAGAAACAGACAATTACAGAGGAAGGTGGATATTAGAAACAAACAACTAATAAAAATGTTACGAAATCAGACAACTAATAAAAAATGTTACGAAATATTCCACTCTTCGAGGATGCCCTCAATGTAGCGAGGATGACCTCAACGTAGAGGAACATGTACTAGGGAATATGTGTGACTCGTTCAGATCACAGATCATGAGCTAGCTAGAACAAACTAGATAAATGGAAGAATTCCCTTCACTATAGCTAGCTAGAACAAACTAGATAATTTTTTCCAGTAGCAACAAATGGAATGGAAGAATTCCATCCACTATCTAAAAAACGATAGAATGGAAGAATTCCATTCACTATCTAAAATATCTATACCTAAGCTTACGGTGGATACCTAAAGACGTCACAATAGCATGCTAATAAATGACACAATTTTCACGCGATTCGAACGCATTGAGTTGAGTGCGCACGGTGCGCATGTGCAACAAACTTCATACGGAGGGCAATTTGGTGACACAGTTTTCGCCGATTCGCACACGTTGAGTTGAGTGCACATATGCACCAAACTTCGTACGGAGTGCAATTTGGTGGCACTGCGTGCGCACATGTTTGGGGGAATGTGGGGCAATTAGTAGGGTGCGCACAAGCTGCCCCAATTGCGTGCAAAAAACCATGAATCACACACGTTGAGTTGAGCACAAGCCGCCACAATTGCGAACAAAAAAGGGCACTTCCCACGAATCGCACGTGTTGAGTTGAGCGTGTGCACCAAACTTCGTAAAAAGGGAAATTTGGTGGCACATCTTGCGCACATGTTTGGGGGGAACGTGGGGTGCACATGGGCACAACGCACGCTCAACTCAACGTGTGAGATTTGCACAAAAGCCGTGCCCTTTTTTTGTACGCAATTGTGGCGGCTTGTGTACAAATGTGCACCCTACTATTTGCCCCATGTTACCCCAAACATATGCGCAAGAAGTGCCACCAAATTTCCCTCCGTACGAACTTTGTTGCGCCCCGCGTGTGCGCTCAACTCAATGCATGCGATTAGCGTGAAAACTGTGCCATTTATTGGCGCGCAATTGTGGCGGCTTGTGCACAATTGTGCACCCTACTATTTATCTTACCCTACTATTTGTCCCACGTTCCCCCAAACACGTGCGCAAGAAGTGTCACCAAATTGCCCTCCGTACAAAGTTTGGTACACATGCGCACCACGCACGCTCAACTCAACGTGTGCGATTCGTGCAAAAACTGTGCCTTTTTTTGCACGCAATTGAAGCGACTCATTTACCTTTGTGCACCCTACTACTTGCCCCACGTTCCCCAAACAAGTGCGCAAGAAGTGCCACCAAATTGCCCTCCGTACGAGGTTTGGTTCACATGCGCACCGCTTGCGCTCAACTCAACGTGTGATATTCGCTCGAAAACCATGCCGTTTTTTGGCGCTCAATTATGGCAGCTATTTGTCCCATGTTCCTCCAAACACGTGCGCAAGAAGTGCCGCCAAATTGCCCTCCAAACAACACGTACCGTGCGCGCTCAACTCAACGTGGACTACTCGCGCAAAAACCGTGCTCGTAATTGTGGCGGCTTGTGACGATGAATGCCGCAAGCGACAAAACACCATGTATAATAGAGCTACACATTGAGATTACAATACAATCTTATCTTCAAAGGGGAAATAGTAGTTTCATGCTACACAATCTTCATCAATCTGAAATAGTAGTTTTACATATCACGTATAATAGAGCTAAACATTGAGATTACAATACATGATATTATAATACAATCTAATCAATCTGAAATAGTAGTTTTAGATATTATGTATAATAAAGCTACACATTGAGATTACAATACATGAAATAGTAGTTTTAGATATTATGGATAATAAAGCTACACATTGAGATTACAATACATGAGATTACAATACAATCTTATCTTCAAAGGGAATAGTAGTTTCATGTTACATATTGGGAAATAGTAGTTTTACCTCCCATGTGCCAATTGTTAGAGATGTTGCAGGGAAATTAATGGCCTTGTTCTGCTGCTTCTCAGCCTTGGTCTTCTTGGTCTTCTTACTCAATGCCTTGGTTTCTAAATCCATGATTTCTGAATCCAACTGAGTATCATCCTTTTCTGAATCCATGACATCCTCTTCATCCTCACAAGCCAAAGCTGTTGGTGCTTTGAAGAGTTTCTCCATAAGGTCTACAAATGATGGGGTTTTCTTTAGGGCCAGGCCAATAACATCCCCATTTTTTTCAACCTGCAAAGTTCATAGTATAGAGCTCTTAGAAGCTATTATGAATTTTGATGAATAAAACATATTTATTTAAGAAACCATATAATAAACATCACTGAAACTGCTCAATCAATCAAGTTCTATAACAAACCATGCATAATGTCATTCTCCGACACCAAACACCAAGGCAAATTTACATAAATTCATTATTCACTATTTGTATAGTATGAGACCACTTACCATTGCCCTAAGGAGGTTAGAATCACTCCTAGCCATTAAATATCAAATCTAATGTCTTGGGGTATGTCACATAGTTTAAGAAATATTTTTTGAACTTTGAATTTAATCAATGATACACTTACAACCATCTGATTTTATGATTTAATGGCTTGGGGTATATGTTCTATAGTTCAATAAATAATTTTTGAATTTTGAATCTAGTCAATGATACACTTACCAATATGATTTAAAATCTGATGACTATAAATGATTGTCACCTTTGCGTACTAAGAGTAAATGGTCTCTTTATATACTTTTCAATAACTTAAACCACTGTAAATATCAAAAGAAAAAAGAAATTTCGGCTAAAAAAGGAACAAAAAGAACAGATAATTCAAACAACATAAATTGACCAAAATGCTACTTCATATATATATATATATATATATAAAGAAACAATTTCCCTGAAAGTCATATCTCTTTATTTTTAACAAATAATTCAAAAAATATAAATTAATCAAAATGCTCTCAAACCGCCATGTTTTTTTTAATATATATTTTTGAGGTATACCTCACTGAGGCATAAGACCACTTCAAAGTACCACTTCAAAGTTTCACGTAAAAATAAGAAAATCAAATTCATTAACCCATACTCACTTCCAAGCTACATGCCTTCAAAATTTCATTTATAAAAAAATGAAAATCAAATTCATTAACCCATACTTCCAAGCTACATGCATGTGCATGTAGATTAGCTACATGCATGCGTATGTACGTTTGGACAGGGCAAAAACTGGCCTGGGCCCAAATTTGCCCAGGAATTAAAGCCGGGGGCATTAAAGTTTGTACCAAACCAGGCATTGAAATGACACTAAAGCCAGGGCCACTAAAGTGTACGCTTGTCCAATTGCCAATCTTACATGTCGGTAAATCTTAAAAAAGAAAAGAAAAGAAATACACCCAATTGCGACCTTTAACCTGATGTACAGCCAGATATTAAGTGTGGCCTGAACTTTAATGTACCTAGATGTTAAGTGTGTCCTGAACTTTACTGTACCGACCGAGACCCAGCCGATTGCACCCTAGATGTAGCCGCCATCAGATCATATAAAAGAAAGAAAGAAAATACACTGGATTGCCAGCCTCACATATGTGGGAAAGGAAAAACATGTACACATGCACCAAAAGGAAAGCAAAACATAGAAAAAACATGGACTTCAGCCAAAGTCGATGTGGTTTCACCAAGGAAGGTAGCAAACAGAGTTTTGATTGCCTGATCACTAACCTCAATAATAAATAATCACTTAAACAAAAAAATAAACAGAATAATTAAACGAAAAACTTATACCTATCATAAACCTTAGAAAAGAAAATATTAGAACAAAAACAAACAAATAATGAAGTCAATGGAAAAAGGGAAAAAAAAATTTAAAACTTACTCACATCTTTGAACAAGTTTATCTTAATTTACTCATATCCTTGAACACTCCACAATAAATAATCACCCAAACAAAACAATAAACAGAAGAAATAAACAAAAGAATTAAACGAAGAACTTCTACTTATCATAAACCTTAGAAACTTAGAAAATGGAAAAAAATAGAACAAAAAAAAAAAGAAAGAAGAAGTTAACAGAAAAAGGGAAGAAAAGAAAAAAAAAGACCACATCAACTTATCAAAATTTACTCACATACTTAATATCAACTTATCAAAATTTACTTACATTCTTGAACATTTCTCTTAAATGATCTAATTTTGATTTTCTTTCCTCATCTTCTTCCCTACTGCAAAACGGGTCCCCACTGCAAAACGGGGAGGGATCCCCATGAACCATGATCTCTTTGTAGAAACTTCTCAAGTTTTTCTCTTCTTTTATCTACAAAACATAGAAGAAAAAAAAAGAAAACTGTCATTATAAAAGAAAAAAGAAAAAGAAAAAAAAAACGATAAACAAATACCAAATTAGGAGCAATTCTTCTTCTCTTCTTGTTGACTTTGACATCCAGTTTTGTCTTTTGCCGTGGTTTTAGGGAGGGAAACTAACAAAGAAACGGAAGAAAAACAAGTAAGACTCTCAGCTAGCACCAAACCGAGGAGAGAAAATAGATATTTAGAGAGAAAGAGAGTTTGTTTAATAAAAGAACCGGTTGCTGAAGACAACATATGACCTCATCATCGGAATTCGTTGACCTCATCATCGGAAGTTCGTTGAGGAATCTTATATTTTCAGGACACAGTTTTAAGTTTAATCCTTTTATAGAGAGGATATTAAATAATAAATGTTAAGAAGCCCCGTCAGCGGTTTAGGGGGACTCTATTTGGGTGAATAAAGATTGATTCTTGAACGTTTCCCTTAAATGATCTAATTTTGATTTTCTTTCCTCATCTTCCTCCCCACTACAAAACGAGGAGGGATCCCCATGAACCATGATCTCTTTGCAGAAAATTCCCAAGTTTTTCTCTTCTTTTATCTACAAAACATAGAAGAGAAAAAAAAAAAACTGTCTTCATAAAAGAAAAAAAAAAAAAAAGAAAACGAAAAAAAAAAAAAACGAATAAACAAATACCAAATTAGGAGTAATTCTTCTTCTCTTCTCGTTGACTTTGGCATCCAAGTTTTGTCTTTTGCTGTGGTTTTAGGGAGAGAAACTAAGACTCAAGTAAGACTCTTAGCTAACACCAAACCGAGGGGAAAAAACAAATATTTAGAGAGAAAGAGAGTTTGTTTAATAAAAGAACAGGTTGTCGAAAGTTCGTTAAGGAATCTTATATTAATGATAACTATTACTTCAGCGGTTTAGGATAAAGGCCTGTTGGGGGAGGAGGACGAGGTGATAACGAGATTCAAAATGGGGTTTTTATGCCCTATATCAATCACATAGTTGATAAGGGAATGACTCCAAATTATCCTCTCACCCATTACTCATCCCTATAGTTTATAAAAAAGAAATTACACATAACAAGTCACAATTAATCTAGACCACTAGAGGTGAAATTGGGGGGTAACATTTTTTTTATTGACCAATTTGAAACTTTTTAAAATTTTTTTTGACATATCCAAGTCATCGGATGGTTATAAGCAATTGTGGCCTCCTTGTATCAAAAGTAAATAGTCTCATTATATACAATCTCAAATAAAAAAACAAATAAAACAAAACCCGGTTTGATGTTGATAATATTAGATGGAGGGCTAAAATTGAAAAAAAATAAAAATAAGTATGAGAGATGGATATTCATTTAAAGTTAAGAAAAAAAATAGACGTCCAAATACTTATGTATTTTATGGTAGTGATGCAATCAATGTTTAAGAAAATGAGCAACTAGACCTGAACCGGCTTGTTTGGATTGGAATAGGGAACTGGTGGGCTAGTCCGATTTTGCCAAAATATTGTGAAACAGCAGATGTCAATTTTAATATTTTTTCTTTTTGTTCTCTAAGTGTTTTACTTTTTATTTGCTAGTGATTTTCCTAAGGAAAAAGTTTATATAAGGATGCAACCATATAATATAGAACTACAGATGCACCTCAAAATTCCATCGGAAAAGGTACTTTTAATGTTGAAAAATCCTTTGATTGATCATCTCGACATCAAGATGTATGACTATGAAAAATAAAAAGATTTTAAGTCTCAGAAATAGTGCATTTTACAACATATTATCTACACCGTCTATTTTCAAGTTTTTCATATGTTTATGGATCTACTTGATTTTAACCATTTTTTAAATTTGAAACTTTATAATTAGATATAAAAAAAGATTTTTAGATAAACCTAAAAACATTTTTGGTCAAAATTATATACCATAATAAAATTTGAAGGTGCACCTTACCTCTACACCTAGATGCATCCGTATGGCAACTGCACCCTTTTCTTAAGGAAAAAGTTTATATAAGGATGCAACCTTATAATGTAGAACTACGGATGCACCTCAAAAATCTATTGGCAAAGGTCGATTTAATGTTGAAAAACCCTTTGATCGATCATCTCGACATCGAGATGTATGACTATGAAAAATAAAAAGATTTTACGTCTAAAAAATAGTGCATTTTACAACATACTAGCTATACCGTCCATTTTCAAGTTTTTCATATTTTTATAGATCTACTTGATTTTAACCATTTATGAAATTTAAAATTTTATAATTAGATATAAAAATAGATTTTGAGATAAATCTAAGAACATTATACATCAAACTTATATACCATAATAAAATTTGAAGTTGCACCTTACCTATACATCTACGGATGCATCTGTATACTAACTGGACCCTTTTCCTAATGTGCGAACCACGGGTCCTACTTTCAGTTTTAATATTTTTTTCATTTTTTTTTGTTCTCCAATCGTTTTAATTTTATTTGTTAGTGATTTTTCTAATGTGCGATACTTCATTGTCTCGTGTACAACGAAGCTCTTCTTGTGGTTAGCTATTCACCCACTCGTATGCTACTGAGTAGTAGAACTCGTAAGGTCTTTTGTTGGATACATAAAAAAAAAAAGAGACAAGACAAAGTCATAGAATAAGGGTTGTCTATTAACATTTGAGATGTGTTTTCAAACCTTAATTTTCCTTTTTTTTAAATGAGATGTATTTTCAAACTTTAATCTTAATTTTCTTTAAGATTAGAATCAATTTTGATTTTTTAGTTGGAAAAGTTTACATTCAAAACTTTTTCGTTGCAAAATACTACTTAATTATACTACTGAATTTCATTTTGTATTATAAAATACTCCTTAATTTCATTTTGCATTACAAAATATTCCTGAACTTTTTTTTGCGATCGGAAAAGGTTACATCCAAAACTTTTACAAATACTTGTGAGATTTGTTTTGAAAAAGGGAATAAATATATAGCCTATTCCTTTTTAGCATACCCCTTTTCTCCTACATTAATATAAGTAAATAGATAACCTTCTCCTTCCTAGCATGCCATTTTTCTTTTATATTATTATAAAGCTAACCAAATGTTGTGTATAGACTCTTCATAATCATAAATGTAGATTATGCATTTAGTTTTGGTGTATAGAGTGTCTGATGTCTGCGTTGTAAAAGAGTAGATGATTATCTATTAGGTACTAAAAGTTTTTGGAAGTCTTTAAGGAATGATCATGTCGGACGTGCTTAGAGATGGTTTTAAAAAGTTGTTTCTCTCTTTGGATGTCTCTATAATATTTCATTAAACATGATTAAAAAAACTATTAAAAAAATATTTATATATTCTAAGATTAAAAAGAATAATGCCTCTTATAAAATGAAATTAGTATAACATCACGCATTTATTAATTCTCACTACTCATTCAAAATTATTAATTGTTATTACTAATATAAACTATCAAAATGTGAAATTCTAATATTTTATTTTGTGTTTTATTTATAAAATCATTAATTTTTTCAAACAAATATAAGAATTAAAAATAAAATTATCAATATAAGTTTACGATTAATAAAACTGGAAACTATTGGTGACAATTTAGTTATTTAAGTTTAAAAAATAAAAACTATTGGTGAAAATTTAGTTATTTAATATGTTTAAAAAATAAAAGAAATATTACTTACCCACAATATTCAATTTACTACAATATCTCAGAGTACCGTGACAATGCATGTATAATTATTCTATCTAAATAACCAAGTTTATTAGACAAGACAAAAATATTTATAAAACCAACCATCACAACAAAAATACGAGAAACATACAAAATTCGTGTTGAGAAACACAATAATAACATGTCACAAGAACATGTTGAGATCAACCGAAAGCATGGTGATAGATTATACTAAGTATTCATTGTTGACATTGGGGGCTTTACAACTTTCAAGTATCTTGTTTTTTAAACAAAAATAATACAATTTTCGTCATAGTAGCACCGGTTAGACGCAAGTTTATGTGAGCGGATCTATATGGTGGTGCTGCAAGACCAAATTGTGTGTTTGATACAACAGGCAAGCCATCTAATAAAGACCAATTTTTATGAATATAAGTTTTTTTTTGAAAAAAACTATGAATGAAAGTTTTATAAAATCATCTTTCATTCACCTTGTTGTTACTAATAATTTTAAAGCTCCTAAAGACTTCTAATTTAAGATTAATATACTATAAGATCATGTGACTTTGGTACAATAAGATCACAATCACCCCTAGTTAGAAGATTTGAAATCTGCCAGCTAAAAGTATGTTTCAAAGTTCAAGAAGATTGTCATAAACATTGAATACAACTAAAAGCACACCTCTAACTATCTGATTTCACATTTGATAACTACCAGTGATTTAACCTTCTTGTATCATAAACAGTGTCTTAAAACCCTGTGATCTAGATCAGGAATTGCTAATTTGGATTAAGAATCAGCCAAGATCGAACCAGAAGGTATCAGGCCTAACTCGTTCCCCTAAAATGCCCTTTCATATATATGTTTTTCTTCTTTTTTTAAGCATATCTAGTGTCTTTTTAGGTCCCTAACTCGGTCTTTTTAAGCATATCTAGGGTCTTTTTAAGCATATCTAGTGCCTAACTCGGTCGGATTAAGCTTTAAAAAAATCCAAAAAAATTATTAAAATTAATTATAAATGTTGTCTTTTAGGAATCCAATAAGAAATGAGGGTACTCCATTGTTAACTTTCAATTTTTTCATCAATTTGTGAATATTGATATGTTTTTTCTCTATATAAACTTATGTTAACCATTAAATTTACATCACACATAAGAAAAATCATATAATTATCATGGATACAATATATAATCTTGCATGGACTACTATAAAGAGTAGATTTAATCGACAAAAAATGGCCATCAAAATCTTAAATTGGCGGAAAGTCCTAATCCCCTAAAAAAACCCAAATTATTACAAACTAACTAACAATAATCCAAATTTATTACAACCTAACTAACTATAATGTTGTATGCTGAAATTAAAATTGTTGGTTTAAATTTTATAATTATTTTATTATACAAATAATAACAAATCCAAAATATTTTGTAATACGATATAATTTAA